TATACATACGCGCAAACACACACGCAGACACAGACACACACAGACACACAGACACAGACACACATACGCACACGCACACACACACACATACACACACACACACACATACACACACACACAAACCTGCAGGTACATCCCCACCTGATGATGTGGAGGTAGCGGATGGGCTATATTTGCGCAGTACATCGCTGAATTGGTCCAATGGGCCCTGGTCGCCACACAGCTGAGCCTCTGCCCTACACTGCGCCTGTACACTCCCCAGCAACTGTAGTATGATCTGAGAAGGGGGGGTTGGGATGGTATGCGAGTCTGGGTGTAGGGTTTATGGTTGAGGGTTTTAGGATGGTAGGATGCCAAGTGGGCGTAGAGAAGGGCTTCTGTTTCGCATTAAGATTGCTCACTGTGCGGCAGTTGTAGTGTGTTCAAAGGTATAGGATGTACGTGTCACACAAGCGGAAATGATATTGACGAGAAAAAGGGGGGCAAGTAAGGGCCTTTCAGTGACATACAAGCATCGTACAAGTAATCTCAGGTGCAAGCTATCCAGGCAAGTACCTGTATAGGCGGCATCGGAAGTACACCGACAACATACTGGAACTCTGATCAAAGCACGTGATTTTTTTTTGCCTGCGACTAGTCGTGTGTGCTTGCGCATATGTCCCATTCCATTGAACGAGGCCACAGCCTATGCTGCTAGTAGGACCGTTTTTGTATGTTGCATGTATACGGTTATATAGTATATGCGCGCTAGTAGGATTATATCTGTATTTTATATTTACACATGTACATAGTATACGTGTGCTAGTAGGATTATATCAATATTTTATATTTACACATGTACATAGTATACGTGTGCTAGTAGGATTATATCTGTATTTTATATTCACATATGTACATAGTATACGTGTGCTAGTAGGATTATATCTGTATTTTACATTTACACATGTACATAATATACGTGTGCTAGTAGGATTATATCTGTATTTTATGTTTAACATGTACATAGTATATGCGCGCTAGTAGGATCATATCTGCATTTTATATTTACACGTGTACATAGCCAGACACGCCCATCGGCCCTCTGAGACGGTTGAACAGGTGCATTCGCCGATAAAGAGGGACTATTCCGGGACACCCAAACCCTAAAAGGCTACAATCTGTACGAATAAACGTACCACACGCATCGTACACGTAAAGATATCACCCAAGTACAATCCCCACTCACCTTTGCGTATTGGTCCACATCAGTCCTGTTGTACGGTAATTTAGGTGCATTGGCCGACAAAGCGGGTTTATTTCGGGACACCAGGCCTTTAAAGGTTGCTGTGGCGGCGTTGTCTACAGCCATGTCCGTGTTCGCATTGGTAGACGCGTTCATGAACATACGCAGGTGTCTGCAGACACACAGACAAGTGTATGGGGTAAGTTAAGTGAGAATTACCCTATAACCCTAAAGACCCGAGACCCTAAAACCATAAAACCAGTGGGTTAATATGCTTGGAAGAGTATAAAATGGACACATGCTTTGTAAACCTTTTTTATCACATAAACTTATTGCACACCAATCCACACACTTATAAGGCGATTGCCGCAAAAGACAGCTGTGGGTGGATCACCATCTGCTTTACACTTATACTTATGCGTAAGGGAATGCCCATTGCATGCGGCTCACTTTTAAACCATCCCGAACAGTTCACATAAGTTGTTTAAATGTATTGATGCCATACTTTCAAGTCTCCAAAACAAATACACAAATAAATGAATAAAGATTCCACGCTTCACATAAAGATAGGTTGTTTAAATGTAATAATTGCATACTTTCAAGTCTCCAAAACAAACAAACAAATAAGTGAATAGATCAATAATTAAATAAAGAATCAGCGCCGGACAGAGCTTTCCGCTCGAACGAGATTTAAATTGCACAGACTTAGATACGAATTATAGTCATTCTGAAACATCACGAGAAGTCAGTGATATAAAGATAAGCCTTAAGCACATAGAAAGCAATACAGACATTCACAAACATACACTAGATACAACTAACACACATTCAACATCATACGAATGAAGGAATATCAGGAGCAGACAGTGGTATAGAGGTAAGCTCTAAGCACACAGAAAGCAATACAGACATACACAAACATACACAAGCTAGTAACCCTATACACACATGTCCTGTGCATACGGTAAGTACCAGACATTACAGTACAATCACTCTGTCTGTGTAAATTATGCATTCAACAACTACCAGACATTCCAGTACAACCACTTTGCCTGTGTAAACTATGCTACCGTACAACTCCTGTGTCTGTGTACATAAGGCGTGTATAGGTCGCTGTGCCTATATATAGTGACGTACCTGTTGCTGCAGCGTTCACTGAGCCCGTGTAGTCCACCCATAGGCGGTGTCAAGCCACGGCCTTGCACGGACTGTATAGATCAAATGATAAGCGATATGGATAATTGCCTTATTAGTACTTGATATAGGATAGTCTTATCATTACTTGAATTACAATAGCCTTATTAGCACTTTGTGGTAGACAATAGCACGCTCCATTCGTCACACAATACACCGACTGGACCTGCACCAGCCATTCCTACACACAGCACATGCATTCCCATGCATACTGTACCAAACTACTGACTCGACTTATACTACAACTAGTGCTACTAGATCAAACTAATACTACAACTAGTGCTACTAGATCAAACTAATACTAAAACTAGTGTTACTAGATTAAACTAATACTACAGCTAGTGTTATTATATTAG